TTCTCCATGATCCAGCGTATGTTGGCAATTTGATCTCTAGTTCCTCTCCCTCTTCGAAATCCTGCCTGTACTTCTGGTAGTTCTCGGTCCACATACTGCTGGAGCCTAGCTTGTAGGATTTTGAGCATAACTTTGCTAGCATGTGAAATGAGTGCAATGGTGCGGTAGTTTGAACATTCTTTGGCATTGCCCTTCTTTGGGATCGGAATGTAAACTGACCTTTGGGACTGGGCTTACAGGGTGAAGCCTGCTTCTTGGGTGTGGTTTTCCTGTAATCACTTTATCTCGAAGAAGAGTTATGTACCGTTCCATCCTAGTGCCCAGTGACACCTGGACTTATTTTCAGCCCACTGCATTTAACATGAGCAGAATATGAGAAGCCCTTTTTGCACTGTCCCAGATCAACAACAGTGTGGTTTGAGATGGTACCCAAAACAGCCAGCTTCAGAAATCAGTGAATGAACCTCCCAGGTAACAATCCTAGGCATATGTCCTTAAAAGCACAATATGTACTCAATACTCTTTAACACAGTGGGATTTCCTTATATAAACGTTCATGGGCTGGCAGTGTACTTCCCCCTTGCTACATACTGAAAATGTGGCCATCATCATGAGCATGGCAGTCATGTGAAGAACTGATTGTTCTGTGGGACTTTTCCCCTATCATTGCTTCCTATAACTGTACACATTTGCTTCTTTTAATTGCACAACATTGAATTTCCTGTGCAGAAAAGTGTGACCCTGACCTTTACCATTCCTATGCTTTGCTTGAGTGTACTTCCAGATTGGGTTATCAAATTCTACAAGGAAGAACCACATTAAAGGTTTTCCATGTATTGCACCCACAAGAAGACTGCTCTTGCTCAGGGCTCCAGCCAGGTTTATTGTTTCCTTGTTTTGGTGTTGTGGAGTTGAGAGGTTCGGGGTGTGGATTCTGAAGAATGAGAAAAGGAAACTTTTTTTCTCTTTCTTTCCTCATGAAACTTCCCTGTCTATGGCAGATAGAGGAGCTTTTCTTAAATCCTATGTCACAAGTCTCCCCAGTTCTAGCTCCTCTGTCTACGATACCAGAAAGAACAAAACTATCAGCTGTCCACCTCTTATTTTTACTCTAGGCCCCTTGTTCTGGATCAAGACTTTAGCAAGGGGGTAGGGGAGTTGTTAAAGTCCAGACTGGAAGCCCTCTTGAATAAAAATGAAAGAATATTTGCTAGATATTTGTTGTTGTTACATACCTTTAAATTGTCTCCAACTTATGACGATGCTATGAATGACTATGCAAAATGTCCTGTTCTTGAAAGCTTGCTCAGCTCTTGTATACTCAAGGTTGTGGCTTTCTCTATGGAATTGATCCATCTCATCTTTGGTAGTCCTTCTCTTCTTCTGCCTTTGACAATTATCCCCAGCACAATTGCCTTCTCTAGCAACTCTTGTCTTTTCGAGATGTGCCCAAAGTACAAGAGCTTCAATTTTGTTATTTTCGCTTCCAGGAAAAGTTCAGGCATGATTTGATCTAGGACCCACTTGTTCATCTGTCGGTCCTGGGTATTCTCAAGGTTCTCCTCCAACACCATGTTTTGAACGGATCAATTCTTTTCCTGCCTGCTTTCTTTACTGTCCACCTTTCACACTCATACATAGTGATTGGAATACATTAGTGTGGATGATCTTGGCCTTGATCTGCAGTTAAAAGTCTTTACACTTTTCTAGTTCTTCCACTGTTGCCCTTCCAAGTCTCAAACTTCTTTGAATTTCTCGGCTGGCATTCTCATTGGACTTGATGACTAAGCCAAGGTATACAAACACTTCCACAATCTCAGATACTTCATTGCCGACAGGACAGTAAAGTTGTGCAATTCTTTCTGGTCAAGCTGTCAGTTGTCTTAATGTTCAGTCATAGTCTGGCTTCTTCTTCTTTCACTTTCATCAGGAGTTGTTTCAATTCCTTGCTGCTGCCTGCCAGCAGTATGTTATCACCTGCATGTCTCAAATTATTCATGTGTCTTCCACCAATTTCCCCTCCTTCCTCTGATCCTATTCCAGCTTTTGTTATGATATGTTCCATGTACAGACTGGACAGAGGGAAAAAGCACTCTTGCTTGACCCCTTTGCCTATAGGAACCCATTCTGTTTCTCCGTATTCTGACCAGGTCAAAAATGGCATAGCATGGAGAGCCAGTGTGGTGTAGTGGTTAAGAGCATGGGACTGGGACTCAGAGGATCCGGGTTCAAGTCCCCGCTCAGCCATGGAGCCAACTGGGTGACTTTGGGCCAGTCACAGTCTCTCAGCCCAACCTACCTCACAGGGTTGTTGTTGTGGGGATAAGATGGAGGAGGAGAATGATGTAAGCTGCCTTGAGCCCTTTGTAGGAAAAAGGCAGGATATAAATCAAAAAAATAAAATAATAATAATAATGCTTGCTTTGATTTGCTTTATTGGTGTATAATCTGTTAATGGAATGACATTGTTCCACATCAAGTCATAAGAGATTCCTGTCCATCCTTTTAGCATGGAGTACTTGCACGATTGATCTCTTGCCAGGGCTTTCCATGGCAATGGCAAGCACAGCTTTCAGTGGCAAGGTTCTACAGGCAAACACTGTGTGCCAGAAATTCACGAGATAGTGTTAACCCAGATAAACTGAGGTCAGTCACCATTGTCTGCCTGGGTTGTCTGCCATCAAGCAATATCAAGGAAAATTCTACTGTTCAAAGAAAAGATCGGAATGAGAAGTTGGGTTGCAGCCAAAGGCATGCAGATGGGTGGGAAGAAGGCGGCAAAGGAAGGATATGACACAGAAGGAGACGGCAGGAATTGATGATAAAAATCTCAATCTCAGCTACACAATGGGGATAGAAATAACATCCTATACCAGCATATCTGCCTGAGGAATTTGGGGAATGGTAGGACTTTTTTCAACCAAAGCATGCATAGAATTGTGCCCTTAAATGGCTTCACATTCTCTTTTACTACATGCTAGTTACTCTTAAAACTCAACCACTGTGGTCATAATTGTGTGTGTGATAAGGAATCTTCACTTCAGTCAAAAGCAAAAGTAGAGAAGGGGACCCACTGTTTTTCTTCATCATAGCAAGTTAAGATACATTACAGCAGTGGTGGGTGCCATGTGGCCCTTTAAATGCTTTCTGACTGTATCTCCTATGAACGCCACCCAACATAGTCAGTGGTGAGGGATGATGGGGATTGCAGTACAACAACATCTAGCATCATCTCTATCCTTGTGTTCAAGAGGAATATGTACTGAGTGATCTTCTGAGTGGGATGCTATAACTTGGTGTCCTCCAACAGCAGGGGGTTGGACTTGATGGCCTTCATAGCCCCTTCCAACTCATTGCTGTTGTTGTTGTTAGTCGCAAAGTTGTGTCCGACCCATCGCGACCCCATGGACAACATTCCTCCAGGTCTTCTTGTCCTCCACCATCCCCCGGAGTCCACTTAAGCTCACGTCGACTGCTTCAGCGACTCCATGTAGCCAGCTCATTCTCTGCCATCCCCTTCTTCTTTTCCCGTCAACTGTTCCCAGCATTAGGCTCTTCTCCAGGGAGTCCTTCCTTCTCATTAGGTGGCCAAAGTATTTGAGTTTCATCTTCAGGATCTGGCCTTCTAAAGAGCAGTCAGGGTTGATCTCCACTAAGACTGACTGGTTTGATCTCCTTGTAGTCCAAGGGACTCACAGGAGTCCTCTCCAGCACCACAATTCAAAGGCCTCAATTCTTCAGTGCAAGGCCTTCCTTATGGTCCAGCTTTTACAGCCATACTTTGCTGGGAAAACTGTAGCCTTGACTATACGGACTTTTGTAGGCAGAGTGATGTCTCTGCTTTTTAGTATGCTGTCTAGATTTGCCGTAACTTTCCTCCCCAGGAGCGTGTTTTAATTTCTTGACTCAGTCCCTGTCTGCAGTGATCTTGGAGCCAGGAAAATAAAATCTGTCACTACCTCCATTTCTTCCCCATCTATTTGCCAGGAAGTGAGAGGACTGGATGCCCTGATCTTAGTTTTCTTGATGTTGAGTTTCAAGCCAACTTTTGTGCTCTCCTCATTCACCTGCAGCAAGAAGCTCTTTAGTTCCTCTTCACTTTCTGCCATTAGAGTGGCATCATCTGCATATCTGAGGTTGTTGCTATTTCTCCCTGCAATCTTAATTCCAACTGGTGATTCATCTAGCCCCGCCTTTCTCATGATGTGCTCTGCATATAAGTTAAATAGGCAGGGCGACAGTATACAGCCCTGCCGAACTCCTTTCTCAATTTTGAACCAATCAGTGGTTCCGTGTCCAGTTCTCACTGTTGCTTCTCGACCTGCATATAAGTTTCTCCAGAGACAAATAAGATGGTCTGGGACTCCCATCTCTTTAGGAACTTGCCACAATTTGTTGTGATCCACACAATCAAAGGTTTTAGCATAGTCAATGAAGCAGAAGTAGATGTTTTTCTGGAACTCCCTAGCTTTCTCCATGATCCAGCATATGTTGACAATTTAATCTCTAGTTCCTCTATCTCTTTGAAACCCTGACTGTATTTCTGGTAGTTCCTGGTCCACATACTGCTGGAGCCTAGCTTGTAGGATTTTGACCATAACTTTGCTAGCATGTGAAATGAGTGCAATGGTGCGGTAGTTTGAACATTCTTTGGCATTGCCCTTCTTTGGGATCGGAATGTAAACTGACCTTTTCCAATCCTGTGGCCACTGCTGAGTTTTCCAAATTTGCCGGCATATGGAGCGTAGCACTTTTACTGCATCGTCTTTTAGGATTTTGAATAGCTCAGCTGGCGTACTGTCTCCTCCACTAGCTTTGTTGTTGCTCAGACTTCCTAAGGCCCATTTGACTTCACCTTGCAGGATGTCTGGCTCGAGGTCAGTGACCACCCCAT